CACTCTCGATAGATTCAGCATGAGATTATAAATGAAGCACAATTCAATGTCTCAAAAAAGAGGCTCCTTTTCCTTTATAGGATGAAAAAATAGCTCCTTTAGGGATAGCCTATGGTAAGTTCATAAAAGAATATTAACAAGCTGTTCACCTCTATTTCATCTCTTATAGTAGGCGTCCATTTAACAACAAATTTATGCTGAGTGAAGGGAATTCTATCTGTGGGATGCTCAGAAAAGCTTAATTGCAGCGGAGTGGTCTCATCCTGATAGAATTGTTTTCACTGGATATTTAATAGAGGTCACAGGGCCTTAGAATTATTAAATCTTCTACTTTTTTAAATTGATAGTGTGTGTTCTTACTAAGCAGCTTTTCTCTGTTGCTGTCCTCATGAACTGACATTATTTATTTTTTAGGTGCAGGTATTTGGACTGTATTCTGGAGAAGAATTTCATGAGACTTTTGACTGTCCCATTAAAGTAAGTATTCAGCAAGTTTTAATTTTTCTAAGGGTTTTCTCAAATAATGCAGTAAGGATTACCATAATTTCAACACTACCATTCCTGTATTAATTTTGTCAGTGAGTGTCTGTTCAATACTTATGGTGTATTGGATACTACTTGAATGCTGTGAAGGCCAGGAATGTCTGTTATGTGACTTTAACTTAGTCTGTCCTTGGGGAGCTTTCATTATCGTGGGTGAGATGATACACACGCAGTCCATGGTCAAAGACTCAGAGGTAAAAACAATATTAAGTGGTCCACAGCTGAGAGGAGTCACTTTAGCTGTTCTTGTTAGTGCTGGCTTTGTAGACAGAGTGATGCTGCACTTGGCTTTAATAAATGGACAGGGGCTAGTGAAGAAACTGGCTTTTTCCATGTGGAAGAACAACATAGTAGAAGTGGAGAGGCTAGAAAGTTCAAATTGTGTTCAGGAAGTGGCTAATAGTCTGGTTTAGATGTTGCATAAAAACTGATTTGGCAAGAGAGCTATTCAGACCGATTGGAGCTGGCTTTAT